AGGCTCTTGCCAGCATGCTTGAAGTTGGAATGGTGGTCAGGACACCATCTGAGGCCCCCTGAATGGGGCCAGTCGGGTGGCAGGAGGATGCTGTGACTGGTAGGACAAGGGACTCTGAGAGCCTGTCTCAGGGGCTCGTCTTGGCTGGGGCTCAGACGAGCTGTCTGGGCAGTGGAAGGCTCAGGCCCAGCCCTTTAGTGGGGAGAGAGGATTCATTCGGGCTTACTGTACCCCACTCTCAGGGCCCCTAACCCTTGAGCATTACTTCATCTGCTTACTCATTCATTCACTTGCATTTTACTCATTAATTTATTCAAATACTCACTCATACATTCATCGGTTCATTCCAAAAGACATTCATGCAGTGTCTTCCTCCGTTTACTCCCTGACCCCGGGGGTGGAGAGGGGGTGGACTGAGGTGCACGTGAGCACTGTTTTCAGGAGTCTAAGATACTCGCACTTTCTTAAGCACACCCCAGAGGCTTCCAAGCTGAGGATAAGTAGGGTTTTGAAAAGATTCCTCTGGGCTGCTGGTGGATTTGGAGGGACCATGGTGGAGGTGGGTGGGGGTCAGGTGGGCTAGGAGATGCCTGAGCTGCGGCCAGGGCTGTGGGGAGCATGGAGGGGGTTTGTGCACATGTGGATGGGGCATTGGTGGGAGGTGGGGTGAGGGGGGCCAGGAGAGGAGGATGCCAGGGGTGTCTAGAGTTGGTGGTGGCCCTCACCGTGCTGGGAGGAAAGGACGGGAGGGAACGTCAGGCTTATTTGTGAAATTGCTGAGTATCCCCAGGCCAGCCATGTAAGCTCCTGAGCCTCAGTTTTATTCTCTGTAAGCAGGACGATACACTCCTGCTAGAAGGTGTGATGGCCTCAGATGTCTGGAAGGGGTCAGTGAACTTGGCCTCCTGAACAAAGATGTGTTAGTTTGTCAGGCTGCCAGGAGCAAAGCCCAGGTGTGAGCAGCAGGCAGGCGCAAGACCAGGGCCCCCCACCTGGCTCCTGTGGATCAGGGTCCACAGACTGCAGATGCTTCTCTAGCCCATGTGATGTGGGCCAGTGTGGGGTGGCCTCCCGCTGCAGCAAGCACCAGCAGGTGGGCGGGTGGCCCCAGAGGCCTGTTGGGTTTCAGAGGGGGTCATGGGTCTTGGGGCTGGAGTCCCCTCAGGAATCAGGAATTCTCAGAGGGGGTCTGAAGCCCTGGCACAGGAGTCCCTCTGGTGACTAGGATTTCTTGGCCACTCAGGTGACCGCAGAGCCCCACAAGGCTTTTTTCTCCAAGCCCAGCCATGATTGCCAGACATAGCAGCCCCTTAGAGCTGTAAGCAGAATGGACCCACACATTAGACAGACTGGGTTCAAGTCCTTGTTCTGCCACTAACTTACTGTGTGACTTGGGCAGATAACAGACCCTCTCTAAGCCTATATTTTCCATTATCATCTCACTCACCTTTACCATGAGACTGTGGGCTTTGTGAAGGCAGGAGGCTGTTTGATTTTCCTCTATTGCCCCAGTAACCACTGTAGGACCTGGCACTGTGTTGTATGAATAAATGAATAAATATGCATCCCAAGGTATTCTGTAAAGTAAATATTTTGTGGGCAAAAAAATATGAGAACCTTTAAATCAAAGGTTAAATGTGTGTGTGTGTGTGTGTGTTTTGTAGGGCTTCTCAGAACCTTTAATGATTCTTATATAGGGAATAAGATATGCAGTATTTCTCAAATGCATTGTATATATTTTTTTCTTTTGGCAGCACCCTTGGCACTGGGGTTCTGGACAACATTCTTTGGGAAATGTGGACTTAGAATCATGGTCAGACTTCTTTTTTTTTTTAATTTTTTTATTGTTATGTTTCATGGTCAGACTTCTGAGGAATGTTGTTTTTTGATGGTTTATGCCTCGATCCTCTTTTATACGTGATCTGAATGACCTAATGCAGTCATAGACACTAATGCCAAGTGCTTTTAGCACAGAGCAAAAGACTAAATTCAAATAATAACATTGGAGAAGAAAAACTGCTTTCCCAATCAAGAAGGTTATTACAATTTATCTTGAAACCGAGTGCTAAGTTTCTTGGTGGCTAAAGCAAAAAGGGAAATGCAAGTAGGCTTCATGGTTTTCGATTGGCAGTTGGCAGTTAAAAGGAGAGCCAAAAATTTCCTCCCTTCCCTTCCCTTCTCTTCTCTTCCCTTCCCTCCCCTTCCCTTCCTTTCTTCCTTCCATCCTTCCTTTCCTTCTTTCTTTTTTTCATTTCAGAGGTAGAATTTAGTGATTCCTCAGTTGCATATAACCCCCAGTGCTCATTATGTCAAGTGCCCTCCTTAATGCCCATCACCCAGTGACCCCATCCCCCCACCCACCTCCCCTCCAGCAACCCTCAGTTTGTTTCCTGTAGTTCAGAGTCTCTCATGGTTTGCCTCCCTCTCTGCTTTCATCTTATTTTGGGAGGGCCGAATATTTTCTTTTTTTTAAAAATTTTATTATATTATGTTAGTCACCATACAATACATCATTAGCTTTTGAGAATATTTTCTGTGAACAAAGTTCTGTTTTCATTTGTTTGTTCGTGCATCATTCACTCAACAGTGTTTATTTACCACCTAGTGTCTACAAGCACAATTCTTGGCACCAGAGATACAGTGGTAGACAAAGACATATACCTGCCCTCATGAAGGTTAGCCATAGGTTTTCTGAACAAGGATGATAGCTCTTGATGTCTACTCTTTCTTGGAGCCCGTTGTGACTTCTCGGGCAGAATCCCCATGCTTGCTTCTCAGGCAGAAAACCTTTGCTCTGGGGTTTCTCTCTTTCTCTCCACCTGTTTTGTATCAGGGTCACGGAAGGTAAGGACATCCTAGGTTCAGGGAACTCAGGAGGTTGATAGAGCCCAGACCTTGCGTTAGAATTTTCAGGAAAACCAATATGAGAAACTGTGCTGAGGCTAAGGAGGTGTTCCCCATTCTTGGAGTATCCCTGGGACCCTGGGCATCTTTTCCAGCTCCCAACCCTAGGAGCTTGGAATCTTATGATTTTGATTCTTTTTCCCACCCTGTTCTTCACGTTCTGGTTCTTCAAAGCTAGGTACATGGCAAATTCTCGTGGGTTGATTTTTGGTGGTTGGGTAGATGGATGGACCCATGGATGAATATACGGATGAATGAATGGGTTTGTGAAAGGCTGGATGACACGGGGTGGGGATACGTACTGGATAGTTGAAGGAATGGACAAGTTGAGGGTGGAGGGAGTGAGACCAATTATGAACGGCAAGATGCCTGGCTCTCAGTAAAGTTACATTAGTATAATTATTAAAATTTCTTTTATTGTGGTAAAATATACATAATAACATCTACTGTCTTTTTTAATTAATTAATTTATTTTTAAAAATATTTATTTATTTATTTGAAAGAGAGAATGAGAGAGAGAGAGAGAGAGCACATGAGAGGGGGGAGGGTCAGAGGGAGAAGCAGGCCCCCCACCGAGCAGGGAGCCCGATGCGGGACTTGATCCCAGGACTCCAGGATCATGACCTGAGCCGAAGGCAGTCGCTTAACCAACTGAGCCACCCAGGCGCCCCACATCTACTGTCTTAACCATTTTTAAGTATACACTTCAGGGATTTTTAAATACATTCTCATTTTTGTGCAGCCATCACCACCACATGCTTGTAAACTGGAAATTCTATACTCATTAAATCATTAAATCATAACTCTCCATTTTCCTCTCCTCTCAACCCCTGGCACCCACTATTCTACTTTCTGTCCTTATGATTTTGACTACCCCAAGTAGTTATCCTACAGGACTAGTCTTTTTCTGTCTGGCTTATTTCACTGAACCAATGTCCTCAAGGTCCATCCATTTTTGTAGCAGGTATCAGAATGGCCTTCCTTTTTAAGGCTAAATCATATTCCATTGTATGTTTGGACCCCATTTTGCTTATTTATTCATTTGCCATTGGATACTTGGGTTGCTTCCTGCTCTTGGCTATCATGGATAATGCTGCTATGAACATAGGTGGACAAATATTTCTTTGAGACCCTGCTTTCAATTCTCTTGGGTATGTACCCAGAAAAGGAATTCCTGGATTATAGGGAATTCTATTTTTAATTTTTGGGGGAACCACCATACTGTTTTCCACAATGGCTCTACCATTTTACATTCCCACCCATAGTGCGTGAGGGTTCTGATTTCTTCACTTCCCGGCCAACACCTGCTATTTTCTGTCTTGTTTTGATGGCAGCCATCTGAATGGGTGTGAGGTGGTATCTCATTGTAGTTTTGATTTGCATTTCCATAATGATCAGTGATGTTGACCATCCTGTCTGCTTATGGACCTATTCCAGCTCTGTGACCATTTTGGAACTGGGTTGTTCATTTTTTTGTTGTTGTTGCTGAGTTGTAGGAGTTCTCTGTATGTTCTGGGATATTAATCCCTTATCAGATAGGATTTGCAAATATTTTCTCCCATTCTATGGGTTATCTTCTTACTTTAAGGGCGGTATCTTTTGATGCACAAAATTTAAGATTTTTTATGGAGTCCAATTTGTCTATTTCTTCATTTGTTACCTGTAGGCACAATATTATTTTTAAAAATGAATCCATCAGTGACTGGACAGTTAGATGGATGAGCATGTGGGCAGTAGATGTATAGATGACTCTATAATTGGATGGGGGATAGACGGATGTTTGAATGAGTGGATAGATGGACAAATAAGATGGTGGATGGGTAGTTGAGTGGGTAAATGGATAGATGGTGAGTTGGTTGAGTAGGTGGGTAGAGGGATGAACAAATGGACAGTTGAGTGAGTGGACAGGTGAATAGATCACCTTATGAATATATGGGTAGGAGGATGGATGGGCAGATGGGCAGATGCAAAATTCTGGCCACATGTTGAGGAGATCTTGGGGCACAGCCTCAGCACAGTTCAGATGGATAGTGGCTTATTTTCTGACCCCAACTTGGCTCAGTTTAACTCCATGGACACATTTTCTTTCTTTCCAGGTTTAGCCTTCTTTCTATCCCCCTCTGAATCTCCAAGGATCTTACCCTGGAACTCAGATTGAACTGAACCCTTGGCTTGTCAGCTGATCTTCTCAGTGGTAAGAACTCTGGGGGAAGGAGCCTGCTTCCTCCGAGAGAATAGGGTGCCCTACTAGCTCTCCATAAAGATTGTGGTCTGTTCTTAAGCCTTTTCCAGCCATGTGGCCTCTCTGGCAGCCTCCCCCGCTACTCCGCCAGGCGCCAAACCATCCCACCAGCTTCTCTTTCCACTACATCCTCCTCTGCCTCCATCCCGGCTTCCAGTGGGGCTCCCACTCCACCTGTGCCCTCCCCCATCAGTGACGGTGGGGTCTCAGGATAAATTAGAGGGACAGTCATCCAGGTCAGCCTCCTGCCTCCTGTCCAAGACTTCTTTCCTGTTCCCCAGGACCCCCAGGCAGCCATGGACGTGGGTCTCTCGGGCCTCCCAGTGGTATCTCAGGGTCGCAGCAAGACCCTGAGGGGCAGGGGCCCAGTTGTGCGGCGGCAGCGGGAGTTCATGCCCGAAGAGAAGAAGGACATGGTTTACTGGGAGAAGCGGAGGAAGAACAACGAGGCGGCCAAGAGATCCCGGGAGAAGCGGCGTCTCAACGACGTAGCCCTTGAAGGCAGGCTGGCCACGCTGCTGGAGGAGAACGCTCTGCTCAGGGCTGAGCTGTGGGCACTCAGGTGTCGCTTTGGCCTTTTGCCCTCCGTTGCTGGCTCCCGGACCCTGCCCCTGCAGGCACTGCTGTGGGAGGCCCCCTGGACTGGAGACCCCCGCCCTAGGGCCCAGCCACTCCCCTCCCTCCCTGGCTCCCATGGCTGCCTTTTGAGGCCATGCGCTCTGGACACTGGGGTTCCAGGATGCCGGGGCTGCCTGGGGGCTCACAAGTGGACTGGTCTGGCCGCTTCCCCCAGGTGCCCCCAGGACCCTGTTCCCCCCAACCCCAAGAGAATGGACATGGCCTTGCAGGCTGCCCTCCCAGCCGCCTTCTTCAGCTGTCACCTCCTGGATGGGCATGGGGGGACCAGACCGGAGCTCAGGCCCTTTTGGGGGCTGTGGTCACCCATGGCCTCTGGTTACCAGGCTTCTGGGCCCTCAGATGTGTTGCTGACACCCACTGCTGATCCAGTGGAGCTGCCTCCTGGGTTGGCCTATCCTGTCCCAGGGAATGATCTTGAGCGTCTTACTCAGCCCTCCCTGCCCCACAAACTGCGCGTCAAGTCCCAAGCCTTGGGCAGGGGACCTCCAGGGTGGGGGGATGGCCGGGGCCCCCTCTGAGGGCTTCCCCCGGGCAGGGCCGGGCCCACAAGGTGGTGTTGGGACTGAGCATGGGTATGTCTGGGGAAGATGAGTGGCTTGCCCCTGACTCAGCTCCCCGGCTGGGCAAGGGCCTTGGAGGGGTCCACTTGTCAGTGTCCAGGCCTCTGGGAGGAGGGGATGGGGTTTCATCTTGGATCGTACCCTGGTTCCCATCCTGCCTAAAATATGTGTTGTGGGTAGTCCCTTTCTCCTCCCTCCCCCTTTTCCTTCCTTTCTTCCACCTTCTCTCCCTCCTTCCTCCTCCCTTTCATCCATCTATCCTTCTTTCCTTCATTTATTCGTTTAATCACTCATTCCTGTGCTCATCTGTTCGTTCGGTCATTGATCCATCCATCCATCCATCCATTCTCTCACCCATTGACTTTCACAATTTACCTGCCCCCTTGCCCACCCATTCATGATCTTTGGACCTCCTTCGGTGCTCAGCTTAGTGACAAGTGTGAAGAAACTCTCCTGGCTTTGCAGTTCCTATTCTGGAGGTAGCTGTGGGGGTTTGGGGATAGACATACTGAGGGTCCTGCTGAAGGATGAAGCAGTGTCTCAGGGTGTATGAATCCTTGTGTCTTGGGCTCTCCTAGGGGGCTCGCTGACCACCTCATTTGGGAGTCCGTCACACCCAGTTCAGATGGCTTCCTCTGTGTCTTGGGTCAGAGTCTTGAACCACAGGAACAGGTCAGCAATATTGGGGGTGGCATGGGGGTGGGAGTCCATTTCTTCTCTCTCTCTGGCTGCCCACAGCCCCTGAGGCTGTCTCAGCCCCAGTACACACACCTCTGGGTGGACAGGAGAAGGGACCGCTGCAGAGAAGCTCCCCCCAGGGACCCTGGAGCCTCAGAGCTCATCAAAGACCCTCCCTCCCCAGTTTCTCACTCAGGCACCACTTTTTTAGAAAAAAAAAAAAATCAGAGTTTTTATTAGATTCTGGATGAAAAGCCCCCAACTTTGATTGTGGGGAGAACTGGGTAAGGGGGAGCACTCCTCTGGGCTGATGCAGTCTCTCAGCCCTGGCTGCCCCGGCCAGCTGGGTTATTGGGCCTCAGGCACACCCCCCAGCAGCCCCTGAAGCTGGGCCATTCTTGGTCACTCTGGGTTTATTGCAGTCACAAATGTGTGCCAGCCAGGAGCACTGCTCCTACTGGACAGCATGGAGAACCCACATATCACTGCCTGGGCCCTCTCTACCTGCTCACTCCTTGGTCCTGGTTCCAGGCTGGGACTGGGCAAGGTCATCCCGCCCCCATGCTCTGAGTGCTTGGCCTTCCAGTAGGAGCAGAGAACAAGGGCTCGGCTGGGCCTCCCATGCTGCTCATCACAGCTGTAGCCAGGGGAGGCTTGGCCATTGCAGGTGGGAGATATCCAATGCCTTTGGTTTTGGCTCAGAGACTCCTGTCTCCCAAGAGTGTCCTGGGGAGGGAGGAAGGAGGGCTTCCTGGAGGATGAGGCTCTGGCCTGTTTCTCCCCAGCCAGTGCCCCTAGCTGGGAGGGTGGAGACTGGGGGTGCAGAGGAGCTGACCTCCAACACAAAGGTGCCACACAGCTGTGGCTAATCCTGCACAAAGGCCTTTAATGAAGTTCTGGCTCTGACCAGAGGGATATTAAAAAATGCTTAAGAGAGAGGGAAGAAGGAGGTTGGGTGGCTGTGTAGCACCCCACTGCTGGGAGATGTGGGTGGCTTGGTGCTTGCTCTTGACAGTGCCACCTTGTTGGTGTCTGAGGTGTCTGAGGTCTCTGAGGTGTCTGGACCAGCTCACTCATATCCTGTAGACACAAGAGCAGGGGCTGGTCGCTCTTGGGTTGGAAAAGCCCAGAGATGAATCTGCCTAAAGCAAATCATAGACTTTCCACATTAGAAGGGACCCTCAGAGTCTCTTGATGGGTGCTCATCCAGTCTACTTGAATACCTCTAGAGATGGAGAACTCACTTCCTCTAAAACTCATCACCACTCCTTCTCTAGAGTCAAAACCTGCTTCCTGCACACTTCCACTCTGATCTTGTTCTAGCCACAGGGGGCCTCTCAGAACCCCCTCCCGCTTCCCTCCCTCTGCTCGGAGGTAGCTGGCATGGTAGAAGCCTCTGTTTCTTCCTCTCCAAAGTAGAGACCACCACACACCCCTCAGATAATTTGAGAAGATTAAATCTCATTTATTGTGTGCATGGCACTTTACACACAGCAAGTGTTCAACAAATGTTAACTCCCCTCCCTTTTTGCCTTTTTAGAAAGCTCTCATGTTCCCAGCTCCAGAGTAGTACTCTCTTCAGGGGAAATATCCTCTCATTCTTTAAAATTCTTTCCTTTGTTCTGGTTTGGCTCCTTTTTTTTTTTTTTGTCAGTGCTATTTATATATGATGACTCTTGGAACTGAATATGAAACATTTCTTCATCAAATACATATTTTTTCAACAGATATATTTTTCAGCTCCTACTATGTGTCACACAGAAACTGGATGAGAGAAATGGTGCTCCAGACTGAAGTTTGCAAGGGGAAACGTGCATAAACATTTAGAATACCCTAGATCTCACACCTAGTGAGATCTTTTTGGTTATGAAGGTGTGAAATTCCCTTCCTGCTTCAGGCATGTCTGACCCACGTAGAGTGTGTACAATACACACTGAGTGAAAGTTTCTGCCCGCTTGGTTGGTGATTGCTGGGGGCAGAGATCAAAGGAGTTGAAGCTGCTGATGAGGACACGTTTCTCTGTCTTGTCTGTCAAGGATTCACGACACATCATGGCTGACCTCTGTGTTACCTGGATCCTTTCTACCTACTCAAATCATGGTTCACAGGCCAGCAGCCCAGCAACACCGGGGAGCCCGCTGGAAATGCAGACTCTCAGGCTCCTCCCAGAACAGCTGAATCAAACCTGCATTTTAATGCAATCCCCAGGAGACCCATTAAAGTTTGAGAAGCATCGGTCCAGAGCAGAGGTTGACAAATTTTCCTGTATGAGACCAGAGAGTAAATACTTTGGGCTTTGTGGGTCAGACAGCCACTGTTCTGTCTACTCTACTTTGTCTCTGTAGCGTGAAAACAGCCATAGGCAATATGTAAACGAGTGGGTGTAACTGTGTTCTAATAAAATTTTATTTCCCAAAACAAGTGTGGCCAGATGTGGCCCTTTGGCCACAGTTTGCTGATGGTGTATCCCTAGGAGTAGAACTGGGGATCCTAGGGGTGCTTGTCTTCAACCTTGATATTGCCAAAATGATCTGCAGAGTGGCATTGCCAATTTGCAATTCCTTGCATGTAAAGGAAGTTTGTGTTCTGCCAACACTTGGTTTTGATGGGCAATTTGATTTTTGCCTATTTGGAGGTAACCTGCATTCCTCTGTTGAACATCTTTGCCAAAAGCTGTTGGCCACTTGGATTTCCTCTTCCATGAATTGCCTGTTCTATCAGGATATTTACCTTTTTCTTACTGATTTCTCAGAGCTTTTCATATATTCCAGATCACATATGAACATCACAGAATTTTCACCTGACTTGTGTTTTCATTTTATTCCTCGTGTGTTTTATTTCAACAAAAGTTGGAAAATGGGATGTATCCAAATTTATCGATCTTTGTTAATGGTTCATACATTGTTTTGTCTCGTTGAAGAGTCCTTCCATGTCTCAAGGTCATAGACATAGTCTCTTAAACGTTCCTATAAATATTTTCAAGTTTTGCCTTTAACCAGCCTCTTTCTGTCTTTCTCTCATTCTGTTGCATGAAGTGCCATTATTCAAACTTCCTTGATTAGAAGAATCACCTAGAGGTCCTTGTTTAGTTATAAATTCCCTGAATCAGACTTTCCAGGAGAGAGGCTTTGGAATATGCACTTTTTGTTAGCACCTGGGGGATTCTTATAACAGACCGGTTTGGGAGGATTTGGTGCAGTGGTGAGCGATGGGTTTGGGAGCTGGCCCTCCTGGCTGGATGGCCTCATGCCTATCATCAGGCCTCCCTTGCTTATCTGTAAATGGGGATTCCAAATATACTCACCCCACAGAGGCTTCCTATGGAGATAAGTAAGAGGAAATACCTATGTGGCTTGGCACAGGGCCTTCCTCTGGGAACTGGGTTTATCCACATGGAGACTGTAATTAATCCTATTTCAGTTTTTGTTTTGGTCACCAGGGGCTTTGGGGCCAAACTTATGGCTCAACCATAACAACTGTTCATTCATTCATTCATTCATTCTAAAAATTCATTTACTCAGGGCACCTGGGTGGCTCAGTCGGTTAAGTGTCCAACTGTTGATCTCAGCTCAGGTCTTGATCTCAGGGTTGTGATTTCAAGCCCCACATTGGGCTCCATGCTGGGTGTGGAGCCTACTTAAAAAAATTAATTTACTCACTTAGCAAATATTTCTTGATCATATACGATGTTTAAGGCACAGGAAAGAGCAGTGAACAAAACAATGTGGTTCCTGCCTCTGTGGTGCTAGCAGCCTAGTTGGGGAGACAGATAAATAAACAAGAAAAGTAGAATCCTCGGTGGTAAGTATCATGGAGAAAAAAAGAGGCAGAGGGCTTAGGAGATGGGGCAGTGGGTGGGTTATAATAATTGAAAACGGGAGGTGAGGTCCCTTGTTTTGCCCAGAAGGTGACAGTTGAGCAGAGGCTTGAGGGAGTCATGCATATATTGGAGGAAGGTCACTGCCCAAGCAAGAGAGAACAGTCCATGCAAAGGCCCTGGGGCAGGACTCTGCCTTGTGAGTTGGAGAAACATGGAGGAGGCCTGTCGGGGTGAAGCAAGAGTGAGCGAGGGGGAGAGAGGGAGGAGGTGAGGACGGGAGGTGAGGGGGCAGCTCATGCGGGGACTGTGGGTCATGGCTTTTTCTGTAAGTGAGATGGGGGTGCCGGGGAGTTTCTGAGTGTATTTCTGCTGTAACTGTCCCTCCTCCCACCCCACTCCATCCTGTGGCGTGTGAGGCTGAGTGAAAATAAATAAACCCACCACATAAGCGCAGGGGAGCTGGCTCACTGTCTGAGAAAGGGGGTGACCAACCACAGTGTCGGTGTGGTTTATCTCCCCACGGGCAGTCACATGCCGCCTTCCCTTGGGACCAGGGTGCTCATCCCATCCCTGTTTCTGACCCTCTCTGAGATCTGAGGGAGGGCAGGTAAAGCTGCTCCATGAGGAGGAATCATGCTGCCTTCCACTCTCACCCTTTTGGACAAACATGGGAGGACAGGCCGTCAGGCGCGTGTGGGGGACACCAGAAAGGTGAAGGGCCGCTGAGATGGGGGAGGTCAG